CCCCCACCATCTGATCACAGGATGTGAGGTTCAGTGTCTCAACTTTAATTCCTGTTTGCCTAAGGGCACCCGGGTCGGGTTTCAACACCCGCTGTCGTCCCCGACCATCATCCCTGCCTTATCTTTCCTCGCCGCTCCGACGTCTGAGCCAGCGTGAACAGCTGGTCAAATTACTGCAGTAAACTCAGGGCTACTGCACAGGAAAATACTCCGTCCATCAAATACAGCAGTCTGTCTGTCTCTTAGAGGACCCTCACATCGTCTGTCCAAGCACAGAGGACCAGAACCAGGACATGGGTTTAACAAGATCATCAGTCCAAATGAGAGAAACTAACGACCAATCACAACACAGGAGGCCACACATAGAGAAAAGGCACCATTCACACTAACATTCACACTAACATTCACACTAACATTCACACCTGTGGTCAGATTAGAGTCATAATTAAACTTATCCGCAATGTATTTTTGCTGGACCGCAGGAGGAGAGCCCCCTGTGGCCTCTCCTGGTATTGAAGAACAGATTTAAAGTTGACCAACATGAGACTGAGCTGATGAAAATATGAAACGTTTCAAACTTCACCAAACCAAAACCAGAGACCGTCTCTACCTCAGAGCTGCAGCCTCAACAGACTCCAGGATTCAAGGACTCCAGGACTCAAGGACTCCTCAGAGCTGCAGCCTCAACAGACTCCAGGATTCAAGGACTCAAGGACTCCAGGACTCAAGGACTTAGTATCACTGTAGTATATCCTAGTACATGGTATCGTTGCCTCTGTATCAGGACACGTACGATACACAGTCCATTCAGGTTTTCTACTGTAGCAGTGGTTGTTGTCCAGGTGGTTCACACAGCACCATCTGACTGTAGCCTCTGGGTGTGTGTGTGTGTGTGTCATGATCCGATCACGTCTACAGTTTCTCAGAGGTCCATGTGGATCTGCTGCAGCCTGGACGTCCATCACTGTTCCAGTGTTTTTAACTGGATTTCTTAAAACCAAAATGTAATTACAGACTGAAAGCAGGAAGCTCTCAACTCATCTGGCAAACGGAACACACACACACACACACACCGTAACACACACACACATCATCTGCCACACATTCACAGCCAGCACAGGTCTTTGACCAGAAAATGTCAAAATGTTATTTATCTTCACACATGAACTGTGTGAAACTCAAATCAAATCAAACATTCGTGAAGTTTTTGTTCTCCATTCTGACCTCTACAGGAGGAGTACGTTTCCTCTGCTCTCCTCTGACGCCCACAGATCACCTCTGTTTTGACACTTAACTCCCAGACTGGGTTCAGACGTTCACTATTGTCCAGAGTATTCAGTGAAATCCAGGACTGTATTTTTCAGTTTTCCTCCTCGTCAGACTCACGTCTTTTTTCTGTTACTTGAAAACTACATGTGGACATGTGTGTTTTTATAACCGTGTTGATTAAACCGCTCTGGTGGTTCTCACTTTAGGATGAAACAGCATAACCTGCTGGTAAATCACTGCTGATTAAAGAGTTCTGTGAAAGGACTCACTCATTCTTCTCCAGATGCAGATGAAGCTGCTGACCCTCGGCTGAGATCACCACCTGGGTCTCTGTGGGGGGCTGTGAGGACAAAGATGAAGAGGTTATTCAGGTCAAAGGTCAATAAAAACAGCATTTTATTTCTCATGTATGTAGAGACAGAGACACAGACTCACCTGTGTGTTTGGTCCAGGACGCAGCCACCTGGGAGAAACAACCTCATATGTCTGGACCTGGTCCAGGCTCCTCCTCAGGGTCTCCTGCCGTTTCAGTCCTGATGGAAGAAAAAAAAAACATTTCAAACTGAAGGTAAGAAAATCACTTCACTGCTGTGTTTTTGTTATTCTGACACGATAATCTGATTAGATCAAATCTGATCACATGATCCCAAACTACTAACATCTCTGACCATTTTCAAAGAGACAACAAACTTCACAGGCAGCAGGATCGGATGTAAACACAGGCGGAGACAGGCTCTCTAACTGATGACCCAGACCACGTCTGCTGCCCACGTGGGTCGCTCCAGTTCATTGATGGCCGTCACAATTAAACAGTAAAATGAACAAAAAAAAAAAAAAAAAACTTTCTCAGTGCAAACTGAACATTAAGAGTCGGGGTGAACACAGTGACACACCCAATCCTTATGGCAATACCAGATAGTACCATAGAGGGAGCCCATGTACCATCAGTGGTACACACACCACAGTTTAAGAACCACTGCTCTGATAAATGAGTTAGAATTAAACCAAACAAAGAACCACGTGACCGTCTTTGTTCTTAAAGTAATCAAATTAGTGCGACGCCATCTACAGTACACGGACGTTCACAACAGCAGCTCAGGTCCAGGTCCAGGTCCAGCCATGACGGACAGACTCACCATCAGTCTCAGCGGCAGCAGACACGGCACAGCCGAACAGACACAGACGGAGCCACAGACGAGCAGCCTCCGAAAACATTCTCACGGCAGACGGGGTTTCTACAACTGCAGCCGCACATCAGTGAGCAGCAGGAGCGGAGCGGGGAGGAGGCGATGCTGCTGCCGCCGAGGCATCGTCTGAGCAGCGGGCCGTCCGTCAGATGCAGCTACATCTCTGCTCCACCCCTCCCTCTCACACACGCACACGTACACGCCTGAGTCGGAGGTTTGGCCGAGACCAGGATTGACTTTCATTCCTCCAGAATACCGAGCAGCTCTCAGATCACAGCTTCAGCAACGACCGTACGGCTCAGTGAAAAGGTCAACCTGACGTTTGAAAGCACCGTCAACATTTACCTTTAACGACGTCATCAAGGCTGAAGATGACGCCGTGAAAGACGTGATGGATTTACGCACGTAAAGAAAACCCCCGTCACATAAAGATTTACAATGGAGATGAAAGTGATCAAAATTACATAAAATGACATATTTTAATTGTTAAACTGAGCAAAACAAGCGAAATATGTCGCATTAAAAAGCATAGCGGTTAATTAAACCAAACCTCATCTTACCCATGGTAAAGAGTAACATTCGTTAACTATACGTTCTATAGAGAAAAGAAAAACAACAAAACTTTACCAGAAAGAAACCTCTTTAAACCACACATTTAACGACAAAGCGCAAAAGCACTGAAACCATAAGAAAGTGCCGTTTCACCGCTAACAGTTTGGTTTAAACTTAGCTGAAATGTTAGCAAGCGTAGAGACGTAGCACTTGTAGAAGAAAGTCCGCGCAATTTCACTCACCTCTGCCGCCGCCTCGACTCCACAGTACTCTCAGATAAAAGTTTTTTTTTTTTTTTATTACTCAAAAAGTTAAGATACCCAGTCCATAACTTTAAGGTTTATGTACAAAGACAAACAAAGCTAAACGTTAACTTAGCCACTTAAAGCTAGCTACTCACTAGTCCCGCTGCCATTACGTAGACAGCTTAATGTTGAATGTTGGCGATATCCAAACATTTTGATGAATCCTTTAAATTTTAAAGGATTCATCAAAATGTTTGGAAAAAGTTAACTTTTTCTTTTAAACTTTAAAACATGTCTTTCTTTAAAAACAAACCACAACATAACCATAAACGTCACTCTCCTGAAGGTGGTGCAAGAGTTGACGGATGGTCATCTAGAGTAAGTTGTTCAAGGGTCAAAGGTTTTACCACAAGTGGACAATTCCTCTTCCAGATTGTTTAAAGTAATAAAGTAGAAAAAGTTAACAGCTCACATTCTGTTAAACTGAGTCTCTGAGTGGACGTTGTGTTTTTAAAGACTTTTACACCAGACCTTCAGTGGGAGTGAAGTTAGAAAAACAAGTATTAAAAACGGTTTATTTTGTCCTCAGCAGCTGAGCCTGAGCTCTGTCTCCTCTTACAGGATTTTTATGACTTTTCTTTTGTACAAAACAGCCACAACAACAACATGACGTGAGCTGTGGTTGATTTGTGGCTGAAGAAAGAGTCAGAGTGGAAACAAAACCTGTTAAATGAGCTAATAAAAGACTGAACATTAAAGAAAGTGTGTTAAATATTCCTCGTGTGTGTGGGGGGGTGGGGGGTTATTTCAGGCCCGGCCCTGCACGTAAACACATGCAGTCCTTAAATAACTACACAACCTGCCACTGTCTTTGGTCTGTAGTACTGCATGTCGTCTCGCTGGAACGCCACAGACAGAGGTAGTTGGCAGCGGTCCAGGACGACAGAACCAAACACAAAGATTTCTAATTTCACCAAGTCAGGTGACACATGACATCACACAGTTAGGAAGAACCGTTTATAGAAAAGAAAAAGAAAAAATCAATAAAATGGCCGTCCCTCTGTGATGAATGAGATTCCACCTGATAACAGTAGCTCTGGGCTTTGAACACAGTGACTGAACCAAAAATACTGCTGTCCTGGCTGCCAGTAAGTGATCCTACTACAGTAACCGTCCCAGTCGGAGCTGCTGCGTGGACACAGGGTGTGTGAGGTATTCTTAGCTCTGATGACAGCGCAGCTCCATGAATCCATTCACATCTCTAAATGGTGTCCTGGCGTCAGGACCGGGCCGCTCTGCTGCACTCACGGAATACTTCTACCTCACATGTACTTCCTGTGCACTACAGAAGGGAGCGCCGTCTTACACCACGGGGGATTTTCTGATTCTTTTTAATCGATGTTTTGGAATTCTTTTGCACACATTTTTTTCCTCCTTCTTCTGATTCAGGGCCTGGCTGAAGTTGTTTGATCTAAGCGGTTTGGCACTTGGTCCAGTTATTTTATTTTGGCCCCTCTGTGATGGGTGTGTCCAGCTGATCAGTTCAGACTGCTGCAGAAGAACTGCAGTGTTAGAAAAAAACACTGAGCAGAAAAATGTTTAAAAAAAATCATAATTAATTTTGGGTTCATACATATCTACATTTACACACACATACATTCACTCTGTGACAATGAATTTGCTACTTCCCTCTCACTCAGGCTTCTGAAGCCACGTCTCACTGGTTAAACATGTTGGTAACTATTAACTAAAGGTGATAACTACAGTTCACTGGAGAAATCCTCAGACGTCTCAGTCTGTCAGTGACAGTAACTGCATCGCGGCTCAGTTGAGTTTGAATCCCTCAGTGAGCGTCATCCTCCAGGATGTCTGGGTGTTCGTCCCAGAACTGCTCTCCAATGATGTCGCAGTAATGAGCCTGGACCCTCCTCCTGCTGCGGATCACACTAACCTCCTTCTCCTCCTCTTCATTTGAAACTTTTATACATTTGGTAACAGTTTCATTTTGCTGGATGCAGAAATGAGAAATGACATCATCACCAAAGACTCAGTTCAACACAGAACTCTCCTTAAAGAGCAAAATCTGAAAGGATGTGAGATTTAAATGAAGGCGTGACGTATGTTTGTCGTTAGAGTGATTCAGAACAAACCTTGGTCCAGATCAGAGTGGTGCCTTTTTTGTGTAGTGCAGATTCATTGTTGTAGTTGATGTTGAACTCTGAGAACAGGATCTCATTCTTATCTGCAGCTACTGTTCCCTAGAACAGGAGATATTATAAAAACAACACATTTATAAAGTATTGTCGAGGTCACTGCGTTGATAAGTGATGAAATAATTGATAACAACAATTCCACAGAACATTTCGACACATCAGCTGTTATGACATGGGCACTTCCACTGAACAGTGACTGGCAGCTGCTGTCAACATGAGAATGATGACAGACTACACAACAGAGTTTGTTTGTTTTAAACTGTCACCTCACAGGTGTTGAAACTACAGCTTAAATTTAGGTTTTAACTAACAGGAAGTGATGGTGATTCTGACGCCTGCAAATAGGCATCAACATTTTTTTTTCTTATAACATATCTGAATAATATCTTTTTTTTTTCACTTTTTCCAGAGGAACATTTTTTCTCTGATTTGTTTGGACCTTTTATTGGATTAAGCCTCATCCTCACCTTTAACCGATCCTCGGCCTGGGCCGTGCTGAGCCCCCCCGTCTGCACTAATGTCCAGAACACTGTGTTATACAAATTATTAAAGTGACCTTGAAGAGAAAAAACAAAACAAAGTCAAACTTAAATGAACTCATTCAAACCATTGTAACAGTACAGTACAGTACAGTACAGTACAGTTGACTGTCATCTCCTGTACAGCAGCCATGGTTTGAACTCACAGTCGGCCTGCCTCCAGCTCAGGTAGTCTCTCAGGTTATGGTTGGTGGGGTACAGCACCACACGTCCATCAAAGCTCGGAGGGTACAGGAGAGGCTGCTCCCCGAAGAACTCTCTCCAGTAAAACACGTACGAGGAGGAAAACTGGGAGGTCACGTGGGTCATGAGTTTACTGTCAGAAAAAAACCCCAACAATTAGAGAAAAAGACAGAAGAACACAGAGGGGTGAGATCACGTGTCTCCTACCTGGCTCTCCTCCTAAACAGAGTGGAGTTTCTCTTAAAGACAAAGCTGAATTCGTCACTTTGACCATAAGCTATGACGACATCCTCCATGTCCTCCATGACAGAGCGAGCACTCCTGCTCATCAGGCCCAAGGCTCGGTTGTCATTGGGCTTTGTGAAGTTGTGTTGCTCTGAAAACCTGTCAACAAATACAACAAGACGGTTTATGACACACCATTGTTTTAATTTAAAATCCTTCAGTAGTCGTAGCCTGGCTAAAGAAAATTAAAATTAAAATAAAATAACGAACCTGTGGAAATTCCTTCCATCCAGCCTGACAACTATGTAGCAGTTTCGTAGACAGGTGTCATCGGTCTCAAAGTTGCGGACATATTCAAACTTGCTTTTTGCCATGTTGCTGGAAACAGAAAAACGAACTCGTCTCACATTGACAACACCGAACCGAAGGCATCCAGCGAAGATCGGCGTTTTTGCGATTAACATCCCAAAATTACCGACCAAAAATAACGGAGGGTTTTTAAACCATAATCCATATAATTATGCCAGTTATTTACTCACACACAGTTTTCATGTGTTGTTTGTTCTCTGCACCCATATTAACCCCAACTACAAACTTCATGGAAATACATTTAATTAATGTACTGATACTACACCAACACTAGTAGTACTCGTTAGTAGTCGCGTACATTGAACGTAACTTGTCAGACTACACAAAAAGGTTCTGTCAAAGTTGTTATCACCGGCTGATTAGCTACACATGTTGACTAGGGGCCGGTCCGTCCGCAAAAGAAGCCGTAGTGGAAAATACACATGTAGTCGCTATGGTTCCACTTAGCGACAGAAATGAAATAATATTATTACGCGGACAAAACACATTTGTTCTTATAATCCCATATAATTACAAACACCAATTAATGTAATTTAGGAATGTGGTAGTTTAATGTACGTCGTGTGTTGCTGTTTCGTCATGTTGTTTCATGAACGTACGTCGTGTGTTGCTGTTTCGTCATGAATTAAACAATATTAGAAGTTTAGCCACCAACCATTATCCTGTACGTTATCGCCCTCTTGTGGCAAACAGGCGTGCGTACACGAGCGACGGTTCTTTATGAGCTTTTCATTCTTATTTAATATTTTAAAACGACCTTTGTTTTTTTCATGAAGGGAAATACACCTAAACATAAAACTATGTCGTCACCGAGGTTATATTTATCTTTAACACCGACCGCTGCTCTTTCTTGTGGTCGTTAGCGATGCCTGAAAAAGCTGCAGAGTGAGACATCTTACTTGACATAAAAAAAAAAAAAATCTCCCAGCATCCCCCGGGTGTGTTGACCTGCGGTTCTTTCAAACATGGAGGAGAGGGAAAGAAGCGAAGGAAAGAAAAAAAGTCAAGAAACCAAATCAACAGAATCACCAGCTGCCGACACTGAGTCAAGGACGGACCGGACATCAGGCGAGAGTGACGCGGATAAACTCGACGTCTGTTCGGATCACTTTGACCCTCTGGCCGCCCTGTACTCCCCCACTGTATCAGTACCGTTCCCAAACGTCAAGTGTTTTAACAATGTGGCCGCGTACGAGAGCTTCCTGAAGGGAGGCCGGGGCCGAGCCAAGCCGGAGAATGTAGAGAAGAGGAGGCTGAAGGCGATGAGAGGGGTGGCGGACCCTGAACGGATCGAGAGGCTGAAGAAGCTCATGGTTAACAAGGCAGAGTCAGAGGAGGGGGAGAGCAGCAGAGCTCCGCGGGGCCGGAGGCACAAGCCCCAGAAAAACGTCCTGACCAGGATGCCCTGTAGGTCAACACCCGCTACTACAATTAGTCGTACTGCAGTTCTTGTATTACTCGAATGTTTTCTTATTAAATGTACTCTGATGTTCTGCAATACTGCAATACTCACTACTGATATACTTATAACTACAGTACATCAAGTACTGTAGCCTCTTAGAAAATATTCTCTCGGTTCAACTTCTAGTAAACACTAGTACTGTTACCCATAAAACAGTGGTGTCTACCAGTGATTGTGTCAGTACTGCAGTACTCCTCCCTAGTACTGCAGTACTACACAGAGCAGATGTAGATGAAGTAGAGAAGACAGATGGTCTTCATCCTGTTTCTGTACCATAATCAGTGACTTCCACGACGACGTTTACACATCTGTGTGTGCAGTGTGTAAAGGCAGTCCACTAGGGGAGCTGTACCGATGTGTGGAGGAGAGAATACGGGTCAAAGTTCACATCAGGACCTTTAAAGGGATGAGAGGAGTGTGTTCTGGCTTCATCGTGGCCTTTGATAAGTTCTGGAACATGGTGAGTTCCTGATGATTTCCTGACCGCACACACACACACACACACACACGTTTGTCTCTGTGCTGGTGTCTTCACTGCTGGTGTGTTGAAGTCCTGTTTCTGTCCTTTGTCAGGCTCTGGTGGACGTTGATGAGACGTTCAGGGAGCCTCTGTTTGGAGAAGCCCTCTACCATGAGAAAGCTCTCACCGTGTTCAGGGTACATGTTAGATTTCCTTCCTTTGTCGTCAGGTGATACTGTTGACCTTGTGTTGACCTTGTGTTGACGGCAGCGTCTCTGTTAGCTGTCAGGGTTTGTTGACACTACGATGTCTACGTCTTTAATGTCTGGAAGCAGCAGTTCAGTTAACATTTGTTTAAAGATGACATTTTCTGAATAGCAGAAGTAAAACTAACAATGTAAATAAAGATGGCGCTCCCCGGCTCCCCCTACAGGTTCTGTCCATGCCTACTAACGTCACCTTTTCTAATCTACAGCTCTTTGAGAAGCTAAACCTCCAAGAGAACTCTGGAGACGATGAGTCAGCAAAGAAGCACAGGTCAAAGGAAGGTGTGATCAAACCTGTGGCCCCTGTGACCAGGACGGTCCAGTCAGACACTGGTGAAGACCAACAGGATAAAAACAAAGTTTCTCTGAAGGCCTCACAGAAATACGGCCGAGTTCACACACGCCACGTCAACCAGCTGTTCATCCGAGGGGAAAACGTGATTCTGGTCAATCCACAGCCGCTCTGAAGACGTCCGGTCAAAAACAGGTGTTTGGTTGATGAGGACTGACAAGAATCAAACTGTTGACTATGTTTGTATCATATTGATATGGTGTTTTTTTCTTCAATTTGAAAGAGAAATTAATAAAAAAGTTTTTCATTTGTTACTTTCTCTTCTATTAATACTAAAGCCAATAACCTGTAAACTATAGAGCCAACAGAAAGATCAGTTAAACCTTGGAACTGTTCAGATGTTACAGTACAGAAACAAACCTTTTACAAATCAGTGACCTTGTTACTGTCGGGGCAGAGCACCAACCACTCCACCACCGTGTGACCCCCTTCTCTTCCATTGTCCTCTAACATGAAACTTCCTGACGCTGCTTCGCCAGTGCGTGTGTGTTGGGGTTTGGGCCCAGCAGGGGGCAGCCTACACGCATGCGTCAGTGCCATCACGTCGCTTCTCTCTTTTAGTTTGAACAGCGCTGACAGCGCAGTCTCCGCGGACTTCATAAATGCACGATGAATAATTGAGTGTGTGAAGCTGGAGATTACAGACGGCACTCAGAGCCTGTCATTTGTCCTGACGTCTCCGATTGTTTCCACTCTTTAATGGCCACATTAGCCGTAACTGCAGTGTTTACTGCATCAGCGGATGTTGTTGTTGTCTTCACAGACGTCAGCGGAGGTTGAGGATGATGAGCGACACCGGCTCCTTCTAGTTCTTCTTCATTGGACATCAGGGGCTCTCATTAACTCTCTTATAAATAGGCCAGGCTCCGTCAGCAGATGAACCGCTGCTGCTGCTGCTCCACAGCCTTTTCATTTAATGTATGAGAATATTATTAGGAAAGCCCATTTAGCAGCTGCCCCGGGGGGATTAGAATGGGGGCAATTATTTAATGTAAGTTGTGTTATAGCCGTGTTTGTCACCTAACAAACCTTTCTACGACTACTGTCTAATTATACTGAAGTACTGGGACAGTTACAACACTGTGACAGAACTGTTGTTTTTACTCATAAATAATGACGTGACCATGTGGTGAAGCGGACCACAGTTCGGACTGTAACCCTGACCTGCTGTGGTCGGCTCCGGCTCCACTCAGCTGTAGAACGAAGTATAAATACACGGAAAATACTCACCTTAAACCCATCACATAACCACAGCTGAGGCCGATGACAAACTGACCAAAAACAAAACATCATCCGTTAACAGATGTCAATCAACTGTTTAATGTTGTAAATAAAGAATCTTCATATTTAAATCAAATCAACAAAAAAATGCAAAATTTTCTTTAACAATTGCATATACTAGTGTTTTAGTAACAATTCTATTTCAGCGGTCCAAAAGATTCGATGTAAAAAAAAAAAAAAAGAAAAAAAAAAACAATGCATAAAACAATCTAATGTGATTTGTGAATGAAACAGCAAAGAGATTTTGGTCATTTCGATGCTCGACACTCTGATGCTTGGCTTCCTGAGCCTCTGGGAGAGAAGGGAAGAACGACTTTGATCCTACTGGGCCGACACAGTCCACTGTCCCTCCTCTGGTCAGTGGACCACACACACACACACACACACACACACACTCCATCACAGGGACCCGGAGGTAAACATGGACAGGCACTTGAATCACACAGAAGACGAGGACCGTCACCAGAGTCCAACACACAGCACCACAGCGGCCCCTGTGGACACTCCCCAGACTGCAGTGTGAAGGTAACGAAGGCAGCGTTCGTCAGGACCAACGTTTGAAACACAACACTGGACGTTTGTCTTTATCCTGATCACGTTTTTTTTAATATAAACTAAAGTTTCACTTTGTTCTAAAAGTGAAATAAATAAAATGTCATGCATGAAGGCACAAATCAGAGTGGAGTGGACTGGAGTGGACACACCCGTGGACAGTTCGTCACCTGGACTCCTGGCTTCAGGCACGAGTACAGCTGAGGTGTCAGCAGCCGTCTCCACCAGACGGAGGTGGGTGGAGGCAGGGGTCTGTGTTAAAGACCACCTCCCCCCCGCCCCTCCCCCACACACACACCTGGTTCTTTCTACTCGTGGATGATCTCATTTGACTGATTAGAACATTCCTCTTAGGTAACAAATATAGACAAACATTTATTTGATATATGTAGTCACTACACTACTATGAAAGGCCACAAGTGACGGTCTGTTTAAAGACAATCTCGCACGTTCACCGTCATGGCTCCTCGAGCTGAAGGCCACCAGTGGGCGCTGAAGAACAGAGAGGCGTCATAATTCATTTGGTCTGCAGAATAAAACCCTTCACATTGTCACTGCTCTTCTACAGGAACTTCATAACTTAGAATTTTTCCCGGGCTCCAGATTTCTATTTACAGCTCAGTGAAAAAGTGAGAGCGAGCGTCGACGTCCACGCCCCACGTTAGAAAGTTAAAATGGCTAAAAGGTCATTTCATCCAAACGTCTGGTTCTGGAAAGTACAAAAAGATAAATCAGCTACTGTTTTTACATTTTTGCTATTCTGGTCATTCCGTTGATTGAGGTTATTAGGCACATCCTTCTGAACGCTCTCACCATGGCAGACACGTGCCCGTGCACGGGCGCGCAACCACACACACACACACACACTTTCTTTGCACTGAATCCTTACAAACACACATACACACACATTCAGGTTTTTACCACAACGTGGTGTCACTCTTAGAAAGCAGACTGCAGGGTGTTAGTCTGATGATTGCTGACATTATTCAAGTACTTTCTGTTTCTTTGCAGCTCATTATAATCCTTCACCAACAGACACAGACACAGACAGACCAACACCACTCCTCCTAAATGCCTTCACTCCATCATTTTCCAAAGTTGCCAAAGTCAGCGAAGGCATCGTGTTTAGGCTGCTGCACCACTGCAGGACTCATCCCCATCCCCATGACCCCGGGCATCCCCATAGTCATGCCTCCCTGGGGCATCCCCATGTTCATGGCCATACCCATCATGCCCTGGTTGGAGGCCATACCCATCATGCCCTGGTTGGGGGGCATCCCCATCATGCCCTGGTTGGGGGGCATCCCCATCAGGCCCTGGTTGGGGGGCATCCCCATCATGCCCTGGTTGGGGGGCATCCCCATCATGCCCTGGTTGGGGGGCATCCCCATCATGCCCTGGTTGGGGGGCATCCCCATCATGCCCTGGTTGGGGGGCATCCCCACGCCCATGCCCATCCCAGGAG